GAATACCCACAAGTCGTTGTATCTTGGGACAATTGGGCTGGAACCGTTAGCACTTATACGGGCCAATAATGTCTAACGGAGAATGAATCTAACTCTTGCCTCGATTTCTTTTTCGATTCATAAAACTTATCCAAATTGCATTTCGCAATATACCTCACATATAACAATACATACATCAAAATCACACCAAATTTTCTTCTACTTCAACTTCAGTCTCTCTCTCTCTAAAATTTTCAAATGCCCTGACATTCTCTCTCTCTGATTCAAAAGAACTTTTCTCTTCAATAACGCAAGGTTTTTCGATAAACCCTGTTGATTCTTATAGAAGAGAGAAGTTTTTTTGAATCAGAGAGAGAGAGTAATCCGACTGGATTTGGGGTGGGTTAATTTAGAGAGTTGGGTAGGCCTGAACTTGGACCGGGGCCCGTTGATGAACCTACAAAAAAGGAAAGAACCGGACTTAGGCCGAAGTTAGCACTCCGACGGCCAAGTCAGTAACTTTCTGAAGAAATATTATATTTTTATATGTAATTGATATAGAAGATTTCGCGTGTATTGATACCTGTATTTACTGCCCCTATTTATACCAGAAAAGGGGACGGACGTCAAATATTCTCCAATTTAATTTACCTGTCCAATCGCGGTAATTAGGCATCCGGACTCCAAATTTACCTTCAATGCAGTTTAACATGTCATTTCATTGGCGGCTGCAGCTGCGAAAAGTAGGGGACCGAAACAACATCCCTCTGCGCTTGTCAGTGGATAAGACATGCATTAAATACCTCCACGTGCAGCTAGCATCAACTCCGGGCTGGTCCGGCGAGAGGCGTTGCGAGAGAGTGAGAGAGCTTCTCGCTCTCGCGAGTCGCTTGGTCCCTCTCGCCTAACAAGGCGTCGGTTTAATGGGCCCTCTTCTCTTGGTGGGCTTAATGGTGTCTTTTGACCCGAGTTGGGCCTTTGGTCTTTACTGGATCTGCCAAACAGTAATGGGCTGAATCAATTAGTCCCCCACTCGCGGTTACTTGCGACCGACAGCTAGTAGCTGCGAGTTCGTTCTTTGCGAGAGACGGTTGGTATTCCACACCTCCACTCGCCTCACAGGATAATTATTGCTCTGCTTCGAATAACGTGCCTCGTTTCACATTCCTTAGCAGAAAAACCGTGTAGATTCTGATTAATTAATTGACTGAATTTTTTATTTATTTGTTATTATATATATATATATTTTTATTTTGAAAGTTGTAGCGCCGCCTGCGCTGTCCACTCGCCATTAATGCAGCACAAGCGAGTCTTTTCAAATCCCCCCGTTTCAACTATAAAAAGGGGAGTCTTCACTCCTTATTTCCTTTACATTCTTCTATTTTCTTCAGCCTTTTTTCTTTTCCTCCATTCTCCGGCGTCGGAATTAGATTCTCCTCCTCCGGCTCCTCCCTTTTATCCAGGTAAATACTTCTTGTCCTTGCTTTTGTGATTCTCCTTTTTTGTTTTCGTGTTTCTCCCTTTTCGATTATGCCCTATGTCTTCCGAGTCCTCCTCCTCTTCCTCCGGGGAGATTCGCACCCCCATAATTCGCCTCGGCCCTTCGTCGGATCTGAGAAATAGGCCCAAGAAGAGGGCCGTGGTATCCAAAACTCGAGGCCCGCCGGCCACCTCTGCTCGCTCGCAGAAGGGGAAGGGTAAAGCCCCCTCTCTCCCGCAACACCAAGGGGGTGATGATGCGACCTCCCCCTCTGGCGGAGGGAGGGGGGTTATTAGGGTTCCGAAAGTGAGGGAACCCTCCGTCTGCATTCTGACCAACCCGCAACACTCTATCTTGACCCCCGACGATATTGGCGACCTACTCGTTCGGCAAATGGTGGATGTTTCCTATGATTTGGCTCTTCCTTCCCCTTCGCAGGACTCCCTTCACCCTCCTTCTGGCTATATGACCTGGCATATTGACCAACTGCTCTCGGGTTTATCGTTGCCCGTTCAACCATTCTTCTTGGATGTGGCTCGCAAATTTCGCGTGCCCATCAACCAATTTCTTCCTAATTCTATTAAATTTATGTCAGCCTTTTTTATTATTTGCGCCGAGGCCTCCATAGTGCCCACTGGCGAGCTGTTCCATTCTGCCTTCAAGGTGAATCGCTCCCCTTCTGGCTTTTTCCATCTTACAGCTCGCCCTAACGTAGGCCTTTTTAAGGGTTTGACCAACAAAGTACATAACTGGCCAAAACGTTTCTTATTCATTCGCTCGCCCTCTTCTTGTGGCTTTGATCCGTCGTACGTCGAGACAGCCCCTCGCCCTGTTGGGGTATCTCCCGATTGTTTAGAGACACTCTCTCGCTTGACCGCTCGCACTCCCCCCCAATTGTGGGATGTTGAAAAGATAATAGCTTTCCCCTCTCTGTTTGCCCGCGCTGGATTGTGGGATATGTCCTCGCCTGACACCCGCCTGCTGGGTATTTATTAGGACAAATTTCCATATTTTGTCTCATTATCTTTATACCATTTGTATAATTTTTACCCTCTCGCAATTGACCATTGTTACTGTGCCATGTATCAGACGAAATGATTCGAGATGCTATGAAGGCGGCTCTCGCCAAGCAGTGCGCCCAATCCTCTCGCACCCCCTCTGAATCCACCAGTCAAGCCCCCTCTACTCGCCATCCATCCCCTGCTACCGCAGCAGTGAGCACGGCGGGCGGATCCACCCCTCGCCCTGAGGACGTGCGAGAGACCCCAATCCCGCCGCCGCCTTCTGTCCGCTGGGAGCCCGTTATTGATAGCGGCAGCGAAAATGCCGACAATCAGGAGGCACACGACTCATTTCGCTTGCTGGAGTTGGCACACATTGAGGCAGGTCGCGCTAAGCGGGATGCCATCGGCGGGCAAACCTCTACAATGTCCAAGAGGTGCCGTGCGGAAGATAGAGGCTTCGTGTCGTCGCTTTTGCCCGATCGCAGCCTGACTGAGCTATCCAAACATTTCAGCCAGGTGAAGCTTGTGGAGGATGCCCAGGTTCTTGAGAGCATGCCTCATGAACAGCAATACTCTCGCCTACTGTTCCATTGCTCTCAGGTACGTAAGACTTGTCTATCCTCTCGCATATTTGGTTTTCTCTTCTTTAACTACTCATTCGCTTCATGCTTCCCTTAATTTTAGATCAACGTCCTCCTTGCCCACGGTCTTGGCTCAACTGATCCCACCCGCCAGGCTGAAGAGCTCGCCTTCATAAAGAGGCTAGCAAGCGAGAAGGCTAACGAAGTGACTCTCCTTCAGGACATGGTCCGCGAGCTAACGAGCGAAAAAGAGGAGGTTGCTCGCCTGGGCCATGAGAAATACAATGCCATGAAGACCTCCCTTGAGAGCAAAGTGGCTCGCCTGAATGCGGAAAAGGAACAGCTGATCTCCATCTCTCGCCAAAAACAGGAGGTCGTGGAGGCGGAATGCATGAGGACTATCGCGCTAGAGCGTGCCAGGAGTTTGTATGACCATCTGTGCTCGATAGACGGACAAGATTTCCTACGAGGATATCGCGAGCGGCTGAGCAGCAAGTATCCTTCGTCCGCTCATTTTGCCAACGCCGCGGCCCCAATAGGCGTGGGATTCATGGATCGGGGTATCCGCATGTATGCGGCCTGCCATAATCTCGATGATCCTTCTGATGAGATCAACGCCATCCTCGACTTATTGGGCGATGAGATCCCTGGCTGGGAGGGAAATCCCGCTGAACCTGTGGATCACGCTTGGTGGGCTGGCGTGCTCGAGGGGATGCTCGCAGAGCTGAACAAGTATGCCGCATAAGCTCCCTCTAATATGGCTCGCCTGGACCCTACCTGCTCCGCCTCTACCCTTCCCGACATTCCTCCTTCATGAGGCCCTTATGTTCTCTTTCTTTACTTTTGTTTTGCAACCATTTCATTTATTTTGAACAATTCCTTCTGTCTGAACAATGTTAACTTTATTTGGTTACTTTTATTACCTTTCAGGATTACCGCTTGCTCTTAAGTTTTTATTTGCTTTCTTTACATTTCATCATTCTCGCTTATTCGCGCATCGTGTGTTGCGGCCTGGAAATGCGAGCAAGAATCCTCTGCGTAGCCTATTTAGTGAAATTTCTGTTAGCCTCTCTCGCCTTTTCTTTTAAAAAATATTCCAATTTTGTCATGTTTCTTCTAGCAAATCTCGCTTGATTCCTCCTCGCTCATTCGCGCATAGTGTGCCACGGCCTAGGGCTGCGAGCAAGAATCCCTCTTTGCGTGGCATGCTTGTTCGCATGATATTTCTGTTAGCCTCTCACATTTTCTTAGAAAATACTTCAACTTTCATGTCATGCCTTTTCAATCAAAGTCTCGCTCGATTACAACTTATGTTCGCATCTTTCGTATTTTAAATAGTTCAACTTTCGTTACGTGTTTTTTCTAGCAAAATCTCGATCGAAGCAACTTCTGCTCGCATCAATCGTGTTCTAAATAGTTCAACTTTCGTTTCGTGTTTTTTCTAGCAAAATCTCGATCGATGCAACTTCTGCTCGCGTCTTTCGTGTTTTAAATAGTTCAACTTTCGTTACGGGTTTTTTCTAGCAAAATCTCGATTGAAGCAACTTCTGCTCGCATCACTCCTGTTCTAAATAGTTCAACTTTCGTTTCGTGCTTTTTCTAGCAAAATCTCGATCGATGCAACTTCTGCTCGCATCTTTCGTGTTTTAAATAGTTCAACTTTCGTTTCGTGCTTTTTCTAGCAAAATCTCCGATCGATGCAACTTCTGCTCGCATCTTTCGTGTTTTAAATAGTTCAACTTTCGTTTAAAACTTCTCGCACAATTACAATTTATTGTTCATATTTTCTCAAAAAATAGCTCTATTTTCGTTTCAAACTTCTCGCTCGATTCTTGGTCGCGTTTTTCGTTTATATGTACCTAATAGGTCATAGACTTTTTCAAGACAGGTTTTTCCAAAAGAGGCCGCTTCATATTACTGATTTTGCTTTCTTAGAAAACATGGTTCATCCCGCAGCTAGGCGGGATAAACAAGCAAAAAAGATGGCCTATTCCTATAATACAAAATATTATAATACATCATATTAGAGTTAAATGCAAAAACTCCCCCTGTGTTAATCCTAAAGACCAAAAACCCCCCTGGGATAAAAAAAAGTGACAAAAACCCTCCTGTAATCAATAGTCAAAGCCATACACCCCCCTAATCTTTGTGCGTGTCGTTCACTCGCTGTGTGTGCGATTACTTGTGTGATTTTTGTACATTTTGTGCGTGAAAGGACAAAATTACCCCTCTGAATCAACACTCATGAAACAATTAAACTACTCATGATTTTTTAATAATATTTAAATTTAAAGAAATAAAATGAAAAAATATAAATTATATTTAAACATATTAAAAACGAAAAAAAAATAAAATGGCATACAAATATGAATTTTTAATAATATTTAAATTTAAACAAATAAAATGAAAAAAATATAAATTATATTTAAACATATTCAGAAAGAAGAAAAAAAATGAAAATGGCGTACAAAGCCACCCATCATCTTCTTCCCAACCCAATCTGCCCCACCCTACCCATCATCCTCTGCTCTTGATCTGCTGTTGTTCTTACACCAAAATTCTTGCTCTAAATTCTTAGGAATCATGTAGGGAGTGTATACACGAGTGCTTTGAAACAAATTTCACTCAATTCTGTCCGGTAATCTGCTGTGGTGAAGAACCCTAGTTTTCGCGATTTGCTCAAATTGGGGATTGAACATCCACCTCTTCATCAGAATATTGGTACTAAGAGTGATAAGATGGGGGTAAGGACCCCCTCGACCTCCGGTCAAAGTCGACAACTAGCGTTACCTGCATCTTCTCTCCCATGGGTGATCAAAATGATCTGAAGTGTTTCAAAGCAGCGAGTTTCCACGCAGTCTCAAATTGAATCAAGTTTTATTTTGTCACTGGTGAATTTTGTCAATTCCGTTCCTTACCGGCTTCGTTGATTGACTTTTGTTTGCATAGGGGTTGAGAAGCTTGGTTGCCGGAGAGAGGTTTCAGCCCATGAACGGAGCCGGCGACGATAGTGGTGGGGTGGGGTGAGTGAGGTGAGCAGAGAATTAAAAAAAAAAGTGTGTTTTTGTGTGTCTGTGTTTTTTTTGATTGGGGAAGAGGGTATAATTGAAAGTATTAGGGACTGAATTGAAAATTTTAACAACTTCATTTGGGTCATAAAATTTTTGTGGTTGGACAGATTTATCCAAGGGTTTATTCGTCTTTTCACGAGCGGTCAACGGATAAAAATAAAATGGGTCGAGTATGCTTGTTTGAACACTTGTCAGGGGGTTTTTGTCACTTTTTTTTATCCCGGGGGGGTTTTTGGTCTTTAGAATTAACACAGGGGGTGTATTTGCATTTAACTCCATCATATTATATATAGTATTTTTTCAAATGACACACGTTCCACGCGCGAGCTAACCTTGCTCCCTCCATATCTTCCAACCTGTAAGCTCCTCCTGCGAGCACCGCTACTATCATGTATGGACCCTCCCATTTCTCTATTAGTTTTCCTACTGCCTTGAGTGCATCCACCTGTTTCAAGACCAAGTCCCCCACTTGAAAAACTCTCGGCCTTACTTTCTTGTCATAGGCTGCATTAATTTTGGCTTTGCTAAGCTCCATTCTCCCTCGCGCGCTCTGCTGCTTTTCCATCACCAAGTCCTGCTCCTCGCGCAAGCGCATGCTATAAGCTGTTTCTTGAAAATTCATAATTCTACTTGACGGCAATCCCACTTCTACTGGTATGACAGCTTCCGATCCGTATACTAACGAGAACGGACTTTCTCCGGTCGTCTCTTTTGGCGATGTTCGATATCCCCATAGTACCGCGTGCAACTCCTCAACCCAATTTCCTTTTGATCCCTCCAGACGCTTCTTAATTCCCTCCACCAAAACTCAATTAATCACCTCGACTTGCCCGTTCGCCTGCGGGTGAGCCACGGCTGCAAACCTTTGCTTGATACCCAGACCTGCACACCATTTTTGTATCTTGGCTGAATTAAATTGCGTTCCATTATCTGAAATGAGATCTCTAGGCAACCCATATCGACAGCAGATGATTTGCCTTATGAATTTCATGACACCTCCGTGTCTGTTATTCTGGCCACCGCTACCGCTTCCACCCATTTAGAGAAGTAATCTACAACAACTATTAAAAATTTTCTCTGCCCCTTGGCTAGCGGCATGGGGCCCACGATATCTATCCCCCATTGTGCGAAGGGACATAGGGAAGTTATTATCGTCATATCCTCTCCTGGCGTGTGAATCAGCGGGCCATGCCTCTGGCATTGATCACATGTCTTGACAAATTGTCCCGCATCCTTTCTCAAGGTGGGCCAAAAATATCCTGCCCTTAACACCCGCGAGACCAACGCTCTACCTCCTCCATGATCCCCGCAGCATCCTTGGTGTATCTCGCGTAGCACATAGTGGCCTTCCTCCATAGATAGGCATCTTAGATGCGGCCTAGTGTATCCTCTTTTATAAAGTATGTCCCCGCCTAAGCAGAAATTGCTTGCTCGCTGCTCCAAGATCTTCTGCGCGCGGCCACTTGCTAGCACTTTTCCTTGCAGACACGCTCTTACCTCTGCGCACCAATCTTCCCCGCTTGTCACTGTTGAAACCCGCTCCTCGCCCACGCGGCACAGCTCCCCTATTAGCAACTGTATTTTTCTTGACTCGTATCCTACTGCCATGCTTCCTATTTTTGCCAGAAAATCGGCATGATGGTTCTCCTCTCGGGGTATTTGTGCTAGCTCGCAGAATTCGAACGCGTCCATCATCGATCGTACTGTCTCGCAATAAGCCATCATCCGTTCATTTTTTATCTCGAATTCGCCTTTTACTTGTTGTACTACTAGCTGTGAATCCGAAAATATGCTTAACTTTCTGCCCCCGGCCGAAGATACGAGCTTCATCCCATGTATAACGGCTTCATACTCCGCTTCATTATTTGAAGCTCTAAAAGGCAACTTGATCGCGTATTCCAATTCATCGCCCGCCTCTGCTAGCACAACTCCTACTCAGCTTCCGGCTGTATTCGCCGAACCATCAACGAACACCCTCCATATCCCTTGCTCTTCTGGTTTTGTTGTTTCCTGCAGGAAATCCGCAAGAGCTTGTCCTTTGATGGCGATTCGCGGTTCGTAGCTGATATCAAACTGCCCCATCTCTACCGCCCATTTTACCATCCTTCCCGAAACTTCCATCCTTCCCATCACTGTCTTCATAGGGTGGTTAGTCCGGACCACTATTGCGTGCGAAAGGAAATACGGACTTAGCTTCCGCGCTATCGTCACCAGCGCCAGACCCATCTTTTCTATCTCGTAGTACCTCAGCTCAGCCCCTCGCAAGAGCTTGCTCGCATAATATATTGGGCTTTGCACTCCCTCCTCCTCTCGGGCCAAGACCGAGCTGACCGCGAACTCGCCCACTGCTAGATATACATAAAGCTTTTCCCCTGGCGCTGGCTTTGCTAACAGCGGGAGACGAGCGAGAAGGTTTTTGAGCTGCTCGAAAGCCTTACCTGATTCTTCCGTCCACTCAAATTGAGTTCCCTTTCTCAGTATTTTGAAGAAAGGGTGACTAGCCTCTCCTGCTTTTGATATGAATCTACTCAGAGCTGTTATTCTTCCTGCCAGCATCTGAACCTCCTTAATATTATGTGGTGCCTCCATGTCTAAAACCGCATGCACCTTCTCCGAATTCACTTCCACTCCTCTCTCAGTCACCATGTAACCCAGGAATTTTCCCGTCTTTACCCCGAAAGTACACTTATTGGGGTTAAGTTTCATGCCGTAGCGTCGGAGCGTGCGAAGTGTTTCCTTCAAATCCTCTAAATGGGTGCTCGCCTTTTGGCTTTTCACCAACATATCATCCACGTATATCTCCATGTTCCTCCCGAGTTGGCCCCTGAACATCTTGTCTACTAGCCTCTGGTATGTGGCTCCCGCATTTTTCAACCCAAAGGCATTACCGTGTAGCAATAGGTTCCGGTGGAGGTGATGAAGCTCACCTTGGGCTGGTCGTCCTGGCATAATGGGATCTGATGGTACCCTTGCGAGGCGTCCATCATACTCAGCATCTCGCAACCAGCGGTTGAGTCCACAAGTTGGTCGATTCGTGGCAGAGGGTAGTAATCCTTTGGACATGCTTTGTTGAGATCCCTAAAGTCAATGCACATTCGCCACTTGCCCTCGCCTTTCTTGGCTAGCACCGCATTGGACAACCAGGTAGGAAAACGAATTTCTCGGATTTGCCCCGCTGCCAACAACTTTTGTACTTCTTCTTGTATAATCTTATCTTTCTCTGCCCCGAAATGTCGACGCTTCTGCTTTACTGGCTTTGCATTTTGCTTAACGTTCAGTCTATGCACCACGAGCTGTTCGTCGATACTCCCTAGATCCACATGAGAGAATGCGAACACATCCTGATTTTGCCTTAGAAATTATGTCAACTGTCGAGCTATTTCCATGTCTAATCCACCTCCTATGCGGGTGGTGCGAGATGCATCCTTCTCGCAGAGCTGGATTACCATCAGCTATACATGGGCCTCTTCATTTGTTGGATCTATATCCGGCATTCGGTCCTCCTTCCCCTGGTGGCTGCTCTGGTCAACAGTGCGATTGGCATCTATGTTTCATATTATCCTTAATGCATCATAATAGCACCTCCTCAAGGTCTCCTGATCCCCACGGACTTCTCCAATCTGATCCAGCACTGGGAATTTCAACTTCATATGGTATGTTGAGACAACCTCCTAGAATGAGTTCATGGAAGGACGCCCCAATATGATGTTGTAGGTGGAAGGCGCATCTAGGACCATAAATCTTATGGATCGAGTAGCTCGCACTGGCTCCATCCCGAGAGAAATCGGCAGGCATACCTCCCCGACCGATCGTACCGACTCTCCGAAGAATCCGACCAAGTTTGTCTCCACGTATTTCAATTCGAAGTTCATATTCATTTTCTTGAAACAGTCGTAGTATATAATGTCGGCGGAACTGCCAGTGTCCACCAGTATTCTCGCGATGTCGAAATTTGCTACCACGGCAGTAATCACAAGTGCATCAGAATGGGGCTGCCTGACTCCCTCTTCGTCCAGCGGACCGAAAACAATGGGTGGAACGTGGGAGACTCTTTGCACCTCCTCGAGCTGTACCTCCATCTCGCACAAGCGTCGGAAGTGCGCCCGACTTGCCCGATCAGCCTCCTCCATTTCTCCGAACAACTCCTCGGTCTCTCGCAACTGCCTTAGGTGCGCTCGCCGGGCCCTGTTGGAATCTCCCCCCGAGGGTCCTCCCAGAATCATGCTGATGAAGTTGCCCTGCGCCACTTGGTCCTTCATTTCATTCTGCTTCTCTCTTCCTGGCTCAGGCTTGCGAGGCTCGCCCGCACGCCGAGCGAGGGCTTGTTGCGGGCGCTGATTCCCTTCTTTCACAAACTCTAGCAGATTTTTTGCGCGTATGAGCCTCTCGATCTCGTCACGAAGGTGCTGGCATTCATTGGTGGTGTGGCCATAATCATTATGGAAACGGCAGAAACTTCCCAAAGTGGGGCTTCTCTTCGGTACTTCCGCATACGTGCGAGGCCACTTTAACTTTGGGTTATTTTCTATGGCCACCAATATCTGTCCTGGTGGTGCGACTAGTGTCGCGTAACTGTCAAAACGAGGTCCTACCCTTCTCTCGCTCGACACATCTCTTCTCGCGAGTTGAGCTGGCTTCTGCACTCTATCCTCCTTCTTTTCCCTTTTCGTCTCATGACTGCCTTTGGTTTCGCCAAATTTATTATGTACTGCCTCTTCTGCGTTCATATATCTCTCGGCCTTTTTTAGCAAAACATTGAAAGATCTGGGGGACTTTTTTGAGAG